ATTTTTTTCAATAATTTCAATAAGGCAGAAATTTTTTGGTTCTCCATTTTTAAAATAATTTTGTGAAAGGTTTTCAAATGATTTGTGAACAAATGTAACCCAAATCTGTATGCTTCATTTTACTAGTTTTCTAGGGCTGCTCTAACCAAGTACCAAAAACTGGGTGGCTTAAAATAACAGAAACTTATTCTCTCATAGTCTGGAGGTTAGAGATCTGAAATCAATGTGTTGGTAGGGCCATGCGTACCCTGAAAGATCTAGAGATCCCTCCTAGGCTCTTCCTAGCTTCTGGTGGTTGTTAGCAATCCTTAGCATCTCTTAATTTGTGGCTGCATCTTATAACTATAAAACTCCAATTTCTGCTTCCATATTCACATGGCTATCTTTTCTCTGTGTATGTCCATGACCAAATTTTCCTTTCTTATAAGGACAATAATCGTTGGATGAAGAACCCATCTAACCTAGATTACCTTATCTTAACTACATCTATAAACTCCCTATATTCAAGTAAGGTTTTATTCATAGGTACCTGGGTTAGGACTTAAATATAACTTTTGAGGGGACAAAATTGTACCCACTTGTGCTCACTTATCTAGAAAATTTAATATTTTTGGAGCATACTTAGATTGGGTTTCAGATTGGTTCTCTCTTACATTTCTTAAGTCCAATTGATAATTGTGAAAGAGAGAAATACATTCTGTTCTGTTGACATATTTCATTAAAGTCAATATCAACTTTGTTGCAATATTTTATAGCTCATCGACTTTGTATATATGCAAACATTTGTAATTTTCTATAACTTCAGCTTCTATTTATTGAAGTTCACTTGGAAGTACTTATGAATTATGAAAATGGTTGCACCCTAAGAAACTGGAGATAAGGAAAGATGCAAAGCAAGGCGAGAACCACTTCACTACAGTCGAAGGGTATCAGCAGGTACGCTTTCTCAGCACACAAGTTTTCTCCAGAAAGGCTATGTGTAACATAGCATCAATCTCAGTCAGTCTGGATGACTGCATGCTTATCTCTAGAGTCACTGACTCTTGGCCAACACTATGGTATTTAATAGCTAAAGGCAAATGATATTATAACCATACACCTGTGCTTTGCTTTGGGAAGGATAGATCAGCTTGTCAGGACTGCTTAGTAATAACTGCATATGGTCTGTACCAGGCTTCAGTGGGATCTAGGCATGGGAGAGTGAAGCAGAGATGGTTTTCAACAGTTAAGACTGGTCGTGTAGCTAAAATATCCCTGCATGACAAGGTTTTTAAGAGACCCTTCCAATAAGTGGGGGTTTTGTTTTGTTTTGTTTTGTTTATTAACCTATAATGAAATATTTGTTTTCAGGGTACAGGTCTGTGAATCGTCAGTCTTACACACTTCACAGTGCTCACCACAACACATTCCCTCCCCGATGCCCATCCCCCAGTTACTCCTTCCCTCCCAATCCCCTCCCCTCCAGCAACCCTCAGCTTGTCTCCTGAGATTAAGAGTCTCTTATGGTTTGTCTCACTCCCTGGTTTCATCCCGTAGTTTTGAGCTTCCTAGGACGGAAGCCTAGGAAGGACGTGCAGCCTCTGTGGCTGGTTTGAGACCAGGAGACAAAGCATCTTCTGGGGTACGAAGCAATGGGAGACAAATAAGTTGCTCCTGAGATCTTAGCACCTCTCTTGCTGTGTATCCTCTTGCTGTTGCTGTCTTCTGTTTTTTGCCTGTAATAAAGCTGTCTTTATTACAGTATAAGCTGCTTGAGTCCTCTCAATCTTTTCGGCAATAAAAAAAAACTGAAGATTATTATGTAATGAACACAGGTTGCATAGAACTGCACCTCTGAATAGTAACAGAGAAAAAAGTGAAACAGCAATTAACCTGCAAGTTCTCTCCCATCTCTTGTGTCCCATTTTATTCAAATATCACCCCAATAGGGGTTAAAACCATGCACTTTTCAGTAGATTGATGCAACCATTCCGTAGTTTCTGAGGAAACTGGATTCATTGGCCTAGTGTGGAATTTAAGTTCAGAGTCAGAGAGTTGACTGCACACTGGGGAATTCCCCCCTTTAGAGAAAAAGAAGGTAGACAAGACACTAATGAAAAAATACATGATTTTACATGTACTATACATTTTTTTAAAGATTTTATTTATTTATTTGACAGAGATCACAGGTAGGCCCAGAGGCAGGCAGAGAGAGGGTTGGGGAGCAGGCTCCCTACTGAGCAGAGAGCCCGATGTGGGATTTGATCCCAGGACCCTGAGACCATGACCTGAGCTGAAGGCAGAGGCTTAACCCACTGAGCCACCCAGGTGCCCCTACATTTATGTTTTTAAAGCAACAAACAGGCAAATAGAAAAGCGCACACACCAAAAGATTATCACAAAGTACACATCCTCTAGTTTAAGGGAATGACTATCACCAGCTTCTGAAAGCAACACTTCATGTTTGCTTTCAAGTTCTACCTCCCCTCAGATAACCACTGTCTAAGTGCACTAGAAATTAATTTTTCATAGATTCTAATATGTAATATTAATGGTGTTGTAAAATCTTATGTATTTTGTGTTCGGTCACCTATCATTCAGTCTCCCGCTGAATAGGGAGCCCATCCCAAAGCTTGATCCCAGTTCATGACCTGAGCTGAAGGCAGACACTTAACCAACTGAGGCACCCAAGTACACCTGTTGGTTATATTCTTAAGAGTAAAACCTCTAGTCACAAGATACGCAGATGTTGATCTTTGACAAAGACTGACACAGGTTTCCAAGGGGCTCCTGCTTATTTACATTTATATCATCATTGCTTAGCATTTTTATTGTTTGTCTTTGCTAACAATCGGTAAGGACATTTTTTTTTTTTTTTTCATTTTGATCACTCTGATGATTGTGTCCTAATATCCTGTGGGAGCTTTAAGTAGCATTTTCCTGAGGACTAGTGATGTTGAGTAGCTTTTCATATGTTTATTGGCCGTTAAGAAACTCTTTGGGTGAAGTTCTTATTCAAGTAAGTCTATTGTCTTTATATTAGTATATCACTTTTTTTCTCTTTCTGGAATACCCAATTAAATTTGAGCGAGTCAGAGCCTGGATCCAGACGAAGAGTTATGCTTGGCCGTGCCAGATTTAGGATGTTAATTAGATACCTGCGTGTGGAGGCCAAGAAGGCAAGTTGAGTGTGTGAGTTTGGAGTTTAGGAAAGAATGAGTTCGGAGACACACATTTGGAAGCTTTGAACTCATGAATGGACTTCAAGCCTTGGAACTATCCAGAGTAAGGCTAAACCCTTAGGGGACTCCAACATTTAAAGGTTGGGAAAAGAAATGCCAGAAAGGAGACTGCAAAGAAATGGCTAATACGTTAAGAGAGAAGCCAAGGTTTAAAATTTCAAATGAAGAAAAGTATGATATTTCTCAAAAAAAGGGATGATCAACTCTACCAAATAGCTCTGAGAGGTTGGGTAAAATGAACACAGATTAGCAAGATAAAAGTTGTTGGTAACCTTGGAAAAAAGTGATTTCTATAGGGACAAAACTTTGATGGAAGCAGATTAATGAAAGCATAATATATTCAGTATGGATAATTCTTCTCTAACAGTTGCCATAGAGTAACCTGAAAGACTGGGAGGAGTTTGGCGGTGTACGGTCATGAGATGGAATTTTCTTTAAAAAGGGAAGATGCTATAGCATAAGTTGTCTCACACTTGATCCTTAGGTGAGGAGATCACTGAGGATGGCAGGGAAGATGGAATAATTGGTAAGGACGAGTCACTGTGTAAATTCAAGGGATGAGATTGAGTGTATGGGTGTGGTAGTTGGTAGGGGGATTATTCATTACAATGAGACAATTACTCTGCAATCAAAAAAAAATAGATACTAGAGACTCATGTTAAATCTTATTTCTTGGGCATTATTGGCGAAAACCACATAACCTCATTCATTCTGATTGTGATACTGGCTCTCCCTGCTCTGGTGTAAGTGGAGTCAGTAATATGGAGCTGTAGGGAGCCATTGTCTTATATCTGTGCAGGACACTAATCATATTAAAACTTCAATAAAAACCTTTGAATTGGGACACCTGGGTGGCTCAGTTGGTTAAGCGTCTGCCTTCAGCTCAGGTCATGATCCCAGCGTCCTGGGATCGAGTCCGACGTCAGGCTCCTTGCTCGGCAGGAAGCCTGCTTCTCCCTCTGCCTCTGCTGCCACTCTGCCTGCCTGTGCTTGCTCTCTCTCTCTCTCTCTCTCTGGCAAATAAATAAATAAAATCTTAAAAACAAAAACAAAAACCTTTGAATCGCCTGTTTTATAGCTGTGGAAATTGAAGTTCTGAAGGACTGAGTAAGTTTCACAGCTCTACTTCCCTACATGTGGCTGAGCTGTGAATCAGCTTTTACATTTGAAGCTTTTTTTTTTTTTTTTTTTTTTTTCCCACAGTGACCATAAAATTTAACATCCAATACTGGGTATGATTGAGAGTGAAAGGCGCAAGTTACACAGTTTAACTAGGCAATGGGTGTAAACCAAGACTTTCTAGAGCAAACATGATATGTGACCACCCTCTTTTCCTCCACTTTTTGGTATGCTTTACCATTCAATTCAAAACATCCTATTCAATTTCAATTCCTCCATGGCTACGTTTAACACCAATAATCTGAAATTGACAATAATCTTAAGGCCAACTCAGGTTTAAAAAATTATAATAAAGACAGAGAAACTTAAATATGCCTAAAGGATTAATTTATTGAAATGACTGGCTAGGAAATAGATACTTAAATAATAAACACAATTCCAGAAACTATACATATTTTTCCCAAGTTTAGGTTATTTCCAACTCAAAATTAAATTCTGATGTATTACTGAATTACAATTTGGAAAATGTAGAGTTTATGAGTCAAATTCAGATTAAGATGAATGCCATATAGTACATAAAATAAATAAAAGACAAATTTTTCATTTTTTTCCATGGAGATTCATGCAAAAATGATCAGTTTTGCTTTCGGGATGCCGAGTGAAAAGATGCCACATTTCCAGTCGCAGTCAATTCTGTAGAATATAAAGGACATATAGAGTTGGTTATGTTATATACTGTAACTATCCCTCCTCATTTGTAATTTTGGTGTGATTAATTTGCAAGACAAATTTTGTTATAAATGCAAAATGTTGAGCCCTACCTTGGAGGCATATAAAAATTCCTGTATAACTAAAATCAGCTCACCTGATATTGGTTTAGTGAACTGTCTAGTCTATCATGATCACAGACAGAGTTGTGTTTTATAAATCCCAAAGCTATATTCTCTCCTCTTTTTAAACCTCGTACCAGAAATAATTAATTTTAGTTTGGCTAATGAATTAAAGGATAATATGTACATTTTAAATGAGATTAAAAACAATTGAAGTTATGAAGTCTAAGTTAGAATGAGAATGAAAGTGATCTTTTAAAAAAATCTCAAATACATTCACATAAAAGTAGGAAATACTATTTTCAGTTTTTCCTAAAAAAAGATGACAATCAAGTATCAGAACATAGGCATTTGAATGCAATCCAGTCAAATCTGTCAATAACACATAATTAAAATTTGATACATACTTTCAGGTCGGTAGATGTTAGTCAACCATAAAGACATCCATGACACTTGGATCATTAATAAATAAGTTGGTATATTGATAAAGTTTGTCACTGTCTTGGACTTATCCAATAGGATGAAATGTAAAAAGATATTATCTATAAAAATGTTCAGTCTAATCTCCAAATTCCCAAAACTTACCAAAAGTGAGGAGGGGACATTAATGTTGAAATTCTCTTAAACCTTAAAAGTAAAAAAAAAAAAAAAATTAAAAAAGCAAAATAAATAAATATACAATTTGCATTTGACAAAGACACATTCCCTAAGAATTCTCTGAGAATGAAATAGTCATCTCAATTGTTTGCCATCATATGTACATATGTCAAAAACATGATGTGAAATAAGGCATTTGCAGAATAGACACATACAAGGAAAACTTCAAAATTGTAGAAAATAATAAGCCTTCCTTATTCCAAGGCCAGACTATCAAGTTTAATTCCAGCTTTAATAAGCCTTAATCCTCTTTATCCAAATTCTCAACAGACCAATTAAATCAGAATCTCCTGAAATAATTTGTTCCCAATAGTATCTTCTACATAGAAGATCAGAATAATTATATCAGAATCTCTGCAGGTAGTCCCAGACATTGGGATTTTGGAAAGAAAAAGTTTTACTATTACGTATTATGTATTATGTATTATCTAGTATGTTGCTAGTATTGAGAATCACCAATCCAAACAAAGCGCTTTTAGATCCATTCATTATTCATTTATTCTTTCATTCTCACTTTTCCTCTAACACCGTATTCACGTCGTAAGTGAGAAAGCAGAATTAGTAAGTTTGGACTTACGAGAGCAGAGTTGTAAACTGGGGCAAATGGTTGAGTCACAGGATGGGCTTCACGAGAAGGCTCCTGGTACAGCAGAAAGGCTTGTAGGGGCATGTTTCTCTGAGGGACGGGCAGCACTTGCTGGGGAAGAACCTGAACTTTGGACTGTGGGATGGACAGCAGTGGCTGAGGAGCAAGCATGGGAGTCTGAGGAAGAGGCTGGGGGATCTGCTGCATCAGGGGCTGGAGCAGAGGCAGAGGCATGGGCAGGGGCAGGGGCAGAGGCAGAGGCTGAGGCTGGAGCTGAGCAAAGTGCAGATTTTCAGGATCAGCAAGATTCTGGATTTGGCTGTTCAAAAGGGGTGCTACTGGAGATTTCAGAAAGGGCATCATTTTGCGTGTTGGAGCGATGTTCTCCTTCATTTGGGGGACTTGCACTAGTTCAGCCTGAGGGAGAGGCAGCACCACAGCGGGCTGAGCAAGAGGCAGGACATTCTGTGGAAGGATAGCAAAGGGGATGGGATCGGCATTAGGAAAGACTAGAGGCTGTTGCTGGGCAAAGGGGTGGATTTTATTCTGGCGTTCATCCTGGAAGGAAAGAAAAGAATTTTGGGGTCCATGATTCAGTCATCACAGTCATATATGATGGTCTAAGCTACTGCCTTTTGAACGATCATAATTGAGTGAAAAGAAGGAAGAAAAATCTTTTACTGATTTGATTAAGAGATTATTTTCAGTCAGGTGAAGAAGACTAATGAGTAAAATGTTCACTGAGGGATGTCCCATTACCCCACTTCTTCATAGGTGAACTAGAGAACAAGCTGAAATCAGTGTTTGCAGATTCCAAGACTTATTTCACCTTGCTCTGAATCACCCAGATAGCTGTAGCTGTCCACTTCGGCCTTCACAGGCATGGACGTTCAACATAATGTTTTGATAATAGAGCAAATTGTGTTCATATAATAAAGATCTATTTCAAGAGGCTGAGAGATAATTGCAAGGTTTATTTGTTGTTGCTGCTGTTGTTTTAATGAAAGTTAAATCTTATTTTACAGCTTCATTCAAGGAGTTACTTAACACAAGCCATCTTCTAGCACTACTTCCCTTGGGAGAAGGTAGTTATCTTGAGTTTTTCGAGAGGTATCAATTTGTAAATTCATTTTGATTTAAGAAATATTGGCATAAGTCCCAAACCATACAACTTTATTGATAAAGAGGGAAGTTGAAATATTACAATTAAATACATGTTACCACAAGTGTAATTTAATTAAATGAAGAATGTTATGTTTTCGAAGAAAATCTTTAATTTTAAGCAAGCTCTACTACTTAATAACTGTGTGATACTGTCAGACAATTATGTACTCAATTGTTCTGTACCTTATTTCTTTCATCGGTATAATAGAAATTCTTTTAAGAATTTCATGTACTTATAAATGTTAATATAAAACCTATAAAATGTTATATAAAATCATTGAATATTCACTGTCAGCTTATCAAACTGTGGGGTTAGGAATATTCTCAGTTTATAGAAAAGAAAATTAAGTATAGAGTAACTTGGGGCCAAAATTATACAGCTAACAAATGTGCCAGATTGCCTTCTCATTCTCTTTCATTGGAGTATCTATCTTGAGACTGAAGGGAACCTAGTTCCCCAGCTAGAAATGTAAGTAAATCAAGAATTATTCTTAGGTTTTTTTTCCTATACTCTGCAAATTGATGGTCAGTTTGAAAGATGCATTTATGTCTTAAAAATATTTTGCCTTTGTCAAATCTTAATCTTCTCACTGGCATTTATTTTATTATCAATTCTATAGCATGAACATGTATATATTTTATATATATTTCATCATAATTTTAGAAATATTCTTATCATGAATGAGTTACCTCTATTTGCTGCTGTTCCTCACGCTTAATATTCTCAAGTTTCTGCTAAAAACCAAATCACACATAAAGAAATGTTACCGCCTATAAAAATTAAATGTAGGAAATTGTGAAAATAAGTACATTTAAATATGAAGGTGTTACCTTGTTGATGTGTGTGATAGATTCCTTCAGAAAATAAAATAAAATTAGTTTTAGTTCTATGAATGTTCTTTATTTGTCAATACAAATCAGAAAATGAAGGCACATGATAGGTTAAAACGGACACCTTGTTTGATAATATTAAAAACTCAGGATAACTGCGGAAATTTAGATGTTGCAGTGTTCTGCATAAGCTTGATGTATAAAAGAAAAATGAATTCAGTTACATAAGAGAAGAAAATCAGTGAACATAGTACAAAAAGAGGTATTTAATAGATGCTAATTTTTCTCTATCACCATGCTCCTCTCCTAGAACAAAAAATGATTGCTAATATTCTATCTGATTCTAGGAGAATAATATTCATTGAGATTATGAATTTTGTCTTTTAATTCTTCTGATCATTCATAGGTTGCTTATTATATTTTTACTTCAAATTAATTATAAGAAGTAAATGCCTCCCTTAATGGTCTGATAGCCTTGTAGAGAGACAAAGTATACTGATGTACAATTTAACCAGCGGATAATGACGTATCCAAAAAGAGTGGTACCAGGATAAATGCCTACATGATTCTCCCCAGCAGATTTAGGACTACACTACCTCTTGCCATCTCTTATTCTCTAAAGTTATAAAATGTGTCCATTTGCATGTCTGCTCACATAGTCTTTTGCAAGCTCTTCACTGTGGACATCCCTCTTTTCCTTGGTACCACAGCTCCTAGTAAATGTCTGATCCACAGCACTCAATAAATATCGGAATAGGGAATGAGGACAGGGTAAAGAGAGCTCAAGACAGAAAAGAAGACTGTACAGTTCTTTAAAAGGGGGGGTGGGTTTACGATGACGTAATTTCAAGTAGTACACCAACTTAGAAAGTGCTAGAATACTGAATTCTCCAGATATTTATTCTGTCCTTACATATATGCAATGGAAAAAAAAAATAATAGAAGTTTACATCAAAACGTATGTCAGTGGGTGCCTGGATGGCTCAGTGGGTTAAACCTCTGCCTTTGGCTCAGGTCATGATCTCAGGGTCCTGGGATCAAGCCCTACATCAGGCTCTCTGCTCAGCAAAGAGCCTGCTTCTCCCTCTCTCTCTGCCTGCCTCTCTGCCTACTTGTGATCCCTCCCTCTCTGTCAAATAAATAAATAAAATCTTTAAAAAAAACCACAAAACTTATGTCAGAACAGAGCTGCTTTGATCTAACTGTCCCAATGTCCTAATGTAAAGATAGCACAACATTTTACTGTCCCAAAACTGGGAAATTGCCTCTGAAAACATTGTCTTACTTACCTCACTGCTGGAAAGGCTTTCCACAGTCTGTAAAGGAGAAAACAAAAAAATAAAACAATCAACAACCGGCTTTTCCTAGATCATTACAGAAGGTTAATATTTTATGATTGGAAAATTTTTTGTGAATAAAAACATCTTACCTCAGTGGATACAGTGAGTTCTTCCTTCTGTAACAGAAAAAAACAACACCATTTTGGTTTCCACAGGTAATTCATTATTAAACATTTTTCCTATTTAATTTTTATCTTCTTTATGCAGAGCTACCGATTTCACAAGTTTGAGAAATAAAAAATTCTTATTGAGAGTCTTGAAAGGTAGTTGTTTTTATGTCTTTTATATTTAGTAACTTTATTGATATATTTTTATCTTATGGGAATAAACAATTTTTGATGTAACAAGGTTATTTTACTTTGTTTTAAACAGTTTATTAGGATTTCAAATATATTTGTGATTATAATTATTGCCTGATACTCCATCCTCTCGATGTCTTTGGGTGGACACAGGTAGAGTTGGTCCCAGTGCCATAAAGTAAGAGATACATATATTTTATCACTGGAATAAGGTACATTTATTTAGGTTACACATGCATTCAGTCATATCTGTGGAATATTATTATTGCCATTTTTATATCTGTTTCTATCTCTCTTTCTCTCTCTCTTTTTTTTTTTTTTTTTTTTTTTGGTCTGTTTACTTGTCTGTCCATTTGCTTTTCCTTTAGGAGCTGGTGGCACAGTAGTATAGAAAGCATTTGACCCAGATTTATGCCCCTACTGCACACTGTTGAAATAGTGGATGAATGTAAATGATTCTTTAAGAAATGTAATGCATCTGTTGAAATTCTGCTTTATTTGTACTTTAACAATGTTGCTGGTGTTCTTCTCTAACATAGACAGATATTCCATTATATCTTAATTATTTAGATATTTGCTTACCTCTCTTGCAAGAGCAAGAGCCACCAGGCAGGCAAGGATGAAGACCTTCATGGCTATCAAGTCCTGTCAGTGGGAAAATGAATGAAAGGTAATATATTGGTCAATCTATTTTCTTATTTAGCTAGGATTACTTTCCTTATAAAGAAAATAAGTATAATACTAATAAAAATAACTGCATTTTAGAAAAAATACTAATAGAAGCTTTATCAAATAGGCAGGGTCAAAGCCTACTACAGCTACGTACTCTTACATACCATTTTCATGCTTCATGGCCAACCACTCAGACTTTTTCAGCCATCACCTCTACCCTACCTCACTCTTTTTCATCTTATTCACAGCACTATGGTTGTTTGTTTGTTTTGTTTTGTTTTGAAAGACAGAAAAAAGTCATAAGTATTTACAGAAACATTTATTAGTTGATTAATTTATTCAAAAATATTTATTTAACACTTTTTATTGCCAGACATTGTCTAGGTGCTCAGATGATTGCAGCAAATAAAATATTAAGATTTTAGCCCTGATAGAGCATCAGTTCTATCTGGAGGCAACTGATCAAAGAAAAATGTATACAAAGAAGATCATATTTTCTTTTTATCTTTTTTTTTTTTTACTAAACCAAATGGTTTCCATAAATTTTTTTTTAATTATTTCTCCTTATTTCCAATTAGAGATTTTTACTGGAGCATTTACTTTATTTTTTCCGCTTATCCAGATGTTCACTGATTGGTTTGTCTCCTCTCCATTTGTATGCATGACTCAGTCCACATCCCTGCACATCTAATTATGCCCCCTCTACCTTGTGCCACATAACTTTAGAGATCACAGACTGTATTTTTTTCTGATTTCTTGATGATTTATGAAATATCAGATCCTCTTGACAAATCCCCACTCCAGGCCACCTCTTCTTGTAGTATAACATAATATACACATTACCTTTTAAACTGAAATGTCCTAAATACTTAATTTTGTTGCATTTCTATAATTTCTTATACAACATAATGTTTGTGCCACTAATATCACTTGGCATGCAATCTTCAATCTCAGATACTTATACTAAATTTCTGAACTAAAAATGTTTTATGAAAAATGTCCCTAATCCATCTGCAAAATATCCTTTCCAATATTTGAAGCCTGAAGATTATGTTTTTCCTTTAGGAAAATATTTTTTTTTCTAGATCTTTTTCATGGGTACTATGTAAATCTTAATTTTGCATTGCCTAAGAACTTCATAAGTTTTCAAATCATTTCTTATTGTTAGGACTCAAAAAAAAAAAAAAAGAAGGGAGTATCTTATTAGAAGCCATTATGTGTAGGAAGGATCTCATTGCATTTTCTATATTTTATAATTAGCATTTTATATACCAATCTTTTAGCCAGAACTTTATTTTTAACCAACAGATTCTAAAGTACTTTTTCTTTCAAATATTCTTCTTCCTTTGCTTTTGTTTCCAAGTCATCTCTGTCTCATCTAAGATTTTCTTACAAAGTAAAATATTTTCTTCTTAACTTAATTCTGTATTTTATATGTCTATTTTAATACTTTGAACTATTATAAACCAAATAATAAAGTGGGATGTTGGGGACAATAAATAAGTTTGATGAATACATATTTCTGAAAAAATATTTATGAACATTTCAAATAATACGCATCCCCAACACATCTTGCAGTTTCTTGATTCAATATGCTCCCTCTAAAACTACTGTGAGATAAAGGCTTTCCATTAATTATTCATACCCTCAAATGATAATTTTCTTTTATTGTTGCTGTATATTTAACAAAATTGGAAGACTTATTAATTCAAAAAATAGATTTTTTAATATAGCCTAACTGGCCTTGTACTAAAAGAATAGTAATCATTGTTAATAAATTTTTTAGACTCTAAAGCTCATGAAGTCATAACTTTTACCAAATCTCTACAGACATTTCTATTTTTTTAATCTAAGTGCTGAAAATAGTGTCAGTACTACTTTAAATAATTTCAAAGACTATATTTTAAGTGGTTATTTTCTTCATATATCTCAGCCTCATTTGAACTAAAGGTGAAGAAAGAATACATCAAATTTCAATCTGAAATTCTTACCTGTTTTCCAAGGTGGAGGACAGGAAGTGAAGGAGAAGCTAAGTAGATGATGGTCTGTCTGCTTTTGTGGTGGTTTATATACTGTATTTGGTGGTATGCTAATTTTGTGGTTTGAGATAAAATCAATAGTGAGCTTCAATTCCAAGAAGTTCACATGATTAGAATATGATTTCTGCCTATTATCTGTCCCCAGAAATTCTAGGGATTATTCTAACAAGGTAGCAATTCATAAGCCAATAAAGGAAATCTGTCAAGGAAATGTAATTGTCTAATAATTAAAACAATGACTGGAAGACATTGAGACTGGCCCAATCCCCAACTTATTGTGGATGCAATTCCATCTCTTTAGCACTTGGTGGGTCCTCAAGATCTTACTTGTGGGGAAATTCTATATGAACATCAGACACACAAAGGCTCCACAAAGGCCACAATTTCATGCTAACCTGAGCAGTTGCTAGTGTTTTATGCTGCAGTGGAGAAAATGACAAAAGAACAGGTCCATGATGGTAGTTTAGTCATGTAAGGCAAACTGCTTAGCTCCCAGGACGACCTGATTTTGCAAAAATAAATTGTTCACTTCTAACCAATACTCTGTACACAAGAAGAATAAACCTTCCTCTATAATGAAACATCTCAGAAAAAGAATCTATCTGGATAGCTGATATAGTTAAAATTCTTGGTAAATCTGTTATTAAAAATTTTCAAAATGTCATGGAGACTTATTTATGTGATAAATATTATCTTTTTCTATTTCAAGCATAATAATAATCTTTATTTTTTATACTTATTATCACCCCTGTTCCAGGCACTGGGCATTATACAGACATTATCTTGTATAATCTTTACAAAATCATCATGGGCTAACTGTCCTTTCTATATTTTTGTCAAAGAAATTAAGACAAGAGATTGAGTAACTTGTTCAAAATCATAGTTTGTTGATGGCAAAGATACCATTTAAAACTAGATCTGTCTGATTACGTGTATTTCTGTTTGATCATATGCAGTGTTGATGGTTTAACTCCCTCTATAAATTTTGTTATAAAATTTACCTTTCAATGTAGCATTTGTGCTTAAATGTATAGAATTTAATTATGCCTGAATTGGAGGAATAGAGCATTGGTGCTGAGTGTGGGCATGGAACTGGTCATTAAAGAGCTGCTATTTTGGTTAGACCTCAAAAGAATAAGTAGAATTTTTTAGAAAGATTTTATTTATTTATTTTTCACAGAGAGATATCACAAGTCAGCAGAGAGGCAGGCAGAGAGAGAGAAGGAAGCAGGCTCCCTGCAGGGCAGAGAGCCCTATGCAGGGCTTAGTCCCAGGACCCTGAGATCATGATCTAAGCCAAAGGCAGAGGCTTAACTCACTGAGCCACTTAGGTGCCCCAAGAATAAGTAGAATTTTAAGAGATGGTTAAATGTGAATAAAAGATTTTGACTGAAGGAAAGACAGGAGTTTGAAGAGAAAAATATCAGGTTTGATGGGTTCTGTACTTCAAGATACACAGATGGTATAGAATATAAGTTACTATTGCTGGAGTTTGATGGAGTCAGATCATAATGCCTTTGAATTTCAATTATGCAGGGTGACATAATTCACTGGAAAAGAGGGAAGATATTAGAGATTTGAAAGAAGGAAAGATTGTGAAATTTCTTAAATTTTATGACTTTATGAGAATATCTCAGGGTAACCTAGTAAAGGAGGTTATTATAGTAACATGTTATTAACATGTTATTACAATAGTCAAATATAGACATCATAATCACAGCCACTAGAAAGATGGTACTGGGCATCTTAAGCAATGAGAAGACAAATCTGTCATTAAAACATGAGAAATCTGAGAAATCAGGGAAATGAATACATAACATATGACTATGTGATTGAAAAGTTGGTTATATTGTAAACCAAGATAACAAACCAGCCTGAAATTAGAAAAGGTTAAACCTTGAACATTGTGAGTTTGAAGGTGTCCAGAAGTTACCGTCAGTTAAACATGATGCCCAGAGTAGTCATAAGTACAATTGGAGAGATTTTTTTGTTGTTGTTCCAGACAAAGGAATAAATGAATTCAAGTGTTTCCTGTTATTCAGGGGCTGGTAGAGCAAAAGGAAATAGGAAAAATACAAAGTATCAAGGAGAAGAGAATAAGAGGTCATGGAAGTCATGGGAGGGAACAGCTAGAAGAAACAAGTGGAGTTAAGAGTGAAAAGGCAACACATATGGGGACCATAGTAGAAACAAGGGGAAGGTTTTTGGACACAGAGAGTCATTATCACTGAAACAATTGGGATGCACTGCAAGTGGTCAAGAAGCAAGTACTGTGGGGAGAATTAAAAGCAACACTTCTCTTCTGAGATTTTAGAAGAGGAAATAAGGACACCCGTGGAAGGGTATCTATAACAACAGGGACAACCAGAATCACAGGAAGGTAATTTTAGGATAGACATTTGTGGCTTAAAATAAAGAGGCCAATAGTGAGAAAGCTGAAAACCATCAAAGGTGTGGGAATAAACGTGATGAAGCAAATTCCAGTAGGATTGGGGTCATGGCCAAAACAATTAGGCCTGTACAAAATGTACCAGTTTTCCTGAGACAGGAGAGGAGGAGGAGAAGATGAGTCAATAAAATACATACTTTGAAATACAGGGCAGAGAACTTCAAATGCAATGATCTTAATTTTCTGGTGAGGTGGTGGATGGGGTTCTCAACTGACAGGGAGGTAAACAGTTATGGGTTTAGGATATTTAAAAATGAAGAAAGTTCTGGTTAATGTGAAAATTAAAAATGAAAGAAAGTATCCATAGCAGTAATACCCTGTGGAGATTAGCTACCATACTGTTGCATGTGTAGCAAGATTGTTGCTATATAATATCAATAGGTCAAGAAAATTGTCAGGGTGGGAAGAGGGTGTTGACTGTGAAGTATTGGTTGAGTTAGGAAGGCAAAGAGGCCAGTAGTTGAGTGATAAACCAGAACACTAAAAAAGTGTTCACATGACTAGAAGTGGGAAAAAGGGCAAAAACCTAATGGCCTAATGAGACTAAGCAATGTCTAGAAGTACAGGCAAGAGGTTTTGACCAGAAGAGAATTTCTAGAGGGGAATTCTGAGTAATGAGTACTTCCAGAGGATAGTCATGCATGCAGGATTCTGAAGATAGGTGGGCACGGGTTTGCTAAAGGAAAAGAACGAAGTGTATTCCATATTAAATGTCTGTTTTTGCCAGGCATTTTGCTAGTTTCCAAGAATGCAACAGCAAATAAAAAGGTGTAATTTTTGTCCTGAAGGAGATCAGAGCCTTCATGGGAAAACAAATATGGAAACCCACTTGTTATGAAATGTAATAAATATTTTAATAAAGCTATCATAAGGTATAAGAGACACAAAGGAAATACCTAGTTCATTTTAGCCGATGGATGGGAGAATAGGAAGGAGCTGTGAGTCCTGAGCAGAATCTTGAAGCCAGATGAAGAGAAGTTTGACCTGAGGACAGAAGAAAGCGTTAGGCTAAAAGGAAAGGGGGAATGAATGAATGAATGAAGAATGGGGCCTTGCATGTGAGAAATGAGTAACTACAACTTAATCAAGTAGTGAATCTGGGAAATGACATGCAAGGAAGGCAGCAGATGGAGACAAGAACAGAGAAAGAGGAAGGGGTGAGGTACGGAAGGGCAAAGCATCCCAGACTCCCAAGGAAAACGAATTCTATTCTGTAGAGAATGAGGATTTTTTTGAAGGGTTTTAGGATGGAGGGTGACATTTAGAGAGAACTACTTCTAGAGAACGAATGCTAAAAGTACACATGTATGAAGATGGGATGCTCGGGTGTGGGCCCTTTTCTTTTGCAATTCGTCAGTGTTTACCCGCTAACGCTTGTGGAAGAACGGAAGATGGAAGGAAGAAAGGAAACCGAAGCAGAGAGAGGAGCAGGATTGCTGGAAATACCACAGTAGAGTCTGAGGCAGGCCTCAAAAATGCTTAATATGGGGCCGCCTGGGTGGTTCAGTGGGTTAAAGCCTCTGCGTTCTGCTCAGGTCATGATCCCAGGGTCCTGGGATTGAACCCCGCATTGGGTTCTCTGCTCCGCAGGGAGCCTGCTTCCTCCTCTCTCTCTGCCTGCCTCTCTGCCTATTTGTGATCTCTGTCTGTCAAATAAATAAATAAAGTCTTTAAAAAAATACTTAATATGTACCTACTTACAAAAGAAGTCTTCAAATTTCTTTGCTTCTTTAGTGGTTGCTGTTCGTAATGTAAGTATCTAATTGTGTATAACAGTACTTATTTTTTTAAGAGATTTTATTTATTTATTTGTCATAGAGAGAGCACAAGCAGGCAGAGTGGCAGGCAGAGGCAGAGAGAGAAGCAGGCTCCCTGCTGGACAAGGAGTCCGATGAAGGACTCGATCCCAGGATTCTGGGATCATGACCCAAGCCGAAGGCAGCGGCTTAACCAACTGAGCCACCCAGGCGTCCCAACAGTAGTTATTTTTACAACATTATTTTTTATCATTAATATATAACAGATATATTCAGGACTGAAGCACAGATAGATGCCCTTGACAAGTAAATGGGAGGGTATTAACCCAACGATAATGTAACTTGCATTCATATCATACTACATGTATGAGGGATGGGAACACTCCTGATTGTTGTATATGTTTTATATTGCTTAGAAAACCTAAGTCAATATCTACTATATATTTGAATTATTTAGCTAGTATCCATTCTCAGGCTATGTTCATATTGAACCAGGAGGAAGCTGTAAAAAGAAATGATGAAATGATCCCAGTGTCATAGGTCCAAGTAGAAAAGACCTTGGCTGGCCAGAGTGCTCTCCCATATTAGCCCTCAGCTGCCAAGGCCACTGGCAAAAAAGTGTAATTTCTAAGAAAAGGAATAAAAAAGCAAGCAGTCCATACTCACTCAATATTTCCTTTTTATTTTCTTAGCAATATGCTGGACATATTGTGCAATAAATACAGCTTTTCCCTGTAACTCTCCCTCACCAATTTTGAATTACAGTAGTCAGTATAGT